AAATATTGACGCAATATGATGGTGGATCATGATATCACACAAAATGTAGACCCCAGGAACAGTCCAGGTAGAGGAATTGTGTTGTTAGAAAAATGTGATGGAGGAATAGTGTCTGAAATCAAGAAAAAAAATCCAACACTCTATGGAAGATCAAATTCGTAACAAACGAGACTGTTCTAAATATTACTCCTGCCGTTTATAATCCAATCATGATACCAGAAATTAACATGTGAAAATAATAACATATGTTCGCATTCCATTTGTCTGTCAGTTCACTTCTTACCAGTTAATAAGCTGACCTAACACAATAAAAATTCAGTAGATTTGTTCTATTAAATCGTTATAATTTGCGAGTTAGCAGTTAATTCGAGCTAATAGATCCATCATTCAGAACTTCGGAGTTAACAGAGTGGCCTAACACAAATTCAGTAGATTTGTTCGGTTAACTTCTAATTCTGTTGTAAGTTGGGAGTTAATTTCAAGTTATCATTATGTACGTGTACTTAGCAGCTTTATCCAGCTTGTATACTCTGTCACCTGTAATTGCCAAATTTTGTATGTAAGTACCTTTTTGGGATGGCAAAGTGTTTGGTAAAGATATCAGTTCTTGTGCCCCTCTATTTACGGAGTTATAACCCTTTGTTCATTGTTGACTAAAATTTGGTGGGGGCCGACTATGGATTGCTCAAATTCTTCTGCCTTGTAAGGAAAGCTGGTATTATCAGGAGAAAGAGATATAGCCATCTTTTACGATGTCATAATTTTCATGGATATTTTTTCCAAAATGAAGGATGTTTGTCAATAATTTGAGAGAACTAGTGCCCCGTGGGAACTTGATTGAGATTTGTAGTGGTTAATTGTTTATTGCTACCAATCAATCAATGATTGAAATTGATTATCACACATTTCATTTGTCATGATATTTCGTTAATTAGTATAAATGCTTCCCATCAATGAGTTTATAATTTCCTATCATTTATAAAATACTGTTCTCGTAGAGAACCGTACAAGTTAGCCACGATAAAGTGAGTATGTCATTGTCACAGCGCTACACACAGTGGGACATTTTCTCTGCTCCACGTTTCTCGTCTTACGTTCTGCTAAATGAGTCAATGAATTTTTCAGGAGTTTCTGATTTATTGGAAACAGAGATTTGCTGTGAATTTTCTGTTTAGAAGTGACACAATCACTCCCTGCTGGAGGAGCAACAATTTGCTTTACAATTAAAAATTCAGAGTTTTGTACCGTCAAAAATCTGGTCACATCTTTATAATCTAAATATAGAACTTTACAAGGAAACAATTATTATCATTACCTACGTTACGTATCTACATCTCGTTTTGTTTTCACCTGAATCCCGATGTCAAATGTGGAATTCCTTACCTACAGTAAATAACAAATTAGTGAGACTTTGTGAGGTAGTAAAGCTTACATCATTGATTCTGTCTGTGTGTTGACAACACTACAGAATCGACAGGCGTAGCTGTGTTTGTATAGATGCTACAGGTCATACTCAAATTATCTTGTTTTCCACTTTCTTTCCCGCCTTGAGTTTAACGTCTGATATAAATCTGTAATTTTTAGAGTAATCTAGTCATGGACATTATTTCATGAGAAAAAATTGTCCCAAGAAAATGGCTGTTTGGTGTTATAATGACACGTGGATGTGCATCAGATGGTATTCCTACCAAACACTCCACAGATAATGAACGTCTGATGTTCCAAAGACATATTGGTTATTTTGTTGTCCAATAAGTAAGGTTTCAAATGATGATAATGGTGTGTGTTCCTTGATGAAAAAGAACAAATTTTTCGCTTCGTAAAATGATCCCGTTGTGACTCTTTGAACTGATCGGGGTTGGAATCTTTGATGTTAATTCATCAGTGGTAGGACGCCGGGACCATCAGTGGTAGGACGCCGGGACTATCAGTGGAAGGACGCCGGGACTATCAGTGGTAGGACGCCAGGACCATCAGTGGTAGGACGCCTGGACCATCAGTGGTAGGACGCCGGGACCATCAGTGGTAGGACGCCGGGACTATCAGTGGTAGGACGCCTGGACTATCAGTGGTAGGACGCCAGGACTATCAGTGGTAGAACGCCGGGACCGTCAGTGGTAGGACGCCGGGACCATCAGTGGTAGGACGCTGGGACCATCAGTGGTAGGACACCGGGACCATCAGTGGTTCTGAACAGAATTTATTCTGTGTATCTATGTGTGGATATTTTTTGTGTAAATTTCTGCACTTATAAGCACCATCTTGTAAAACTGTCTCTACACCATCCTGTAAAACTGTCTCTACACCATCCTGTGAAACTGTCTCTACACCATCTTGTAAACGTCGTTATCCAAGTCCAGTATCATACATACCGAGCAAACCATACAAACAGAACAGTCGTCTTGGCTATTCATGACAATTCATTAGGCCCTGTTTATGTTTATTGGATATACTGATTGACATTGACCTTTTATTAAGCCCTGTTCATATGTATTAAATCATTCTAGTTGACATGACCATTAATTAGCCCCCTACCTGTATAATGAAGTATTTTATTTGACATAACCTTTCGCTAGGCCCTGTATGTGTATATTGGAGTATTATAGTTGACAGGACATTTCCCTAGGCCCTGTACATGTATATTGCAGTATTATAGTTGACATGACCTTTCCTTAAGCCCTGTATATATATAAATATAAACTTCATTTATTTTACAACAATCATGAAACAAATTACTTCAGCTTATAATCATCACTCTTGTTGGCTCGGATGTTAGTGCGGGGGTCTTAATGTGGGAGGAAACCAGAGTACCCGGAGAAAACCTACATAGTGGCAGGTTACCCCTTACCTTTTTATGTCCGATGGGGGAATCGAACCCCAGGCTGTCTTGGTGAAAGGCAAGTGTGCTATCCACTACAGCATCCAACTACCCTATGAATTAGGCCCTGTACATGTTTATTGAAGTACCTTTACACCCCAGTATATGTACATTAATAGAGTATTCTAGTTTATAAGACCTCTCATTAGGCCCTTGCATGTATATTGAAGTATTCTAGATGGTATGACCTTTCATAAGGCCCCAGTACAGTTATATTGAAGTGTCCTAATTAGGCCCTGTTTATGTAAAAATGGATTAATTGATGTGACGTCTATTAGGCCCCATCATGTATCTAAAATATGCTTGTGAAATTGGATAATTGAAGATTGATTAAAGAAGTATTGCCTATTAAGTAAGCCTTAGTGTACAGATGTGTGTGATGTGTTTTGGCCAGCTGTATAGGTATACATGTGTAGTACAGCTGTAACGAAGCTACAGATGCTGGCTCCGAGTGATCATCTCAGCTGGAACTGTCTGTGTCTCTGTTACTCCTGGTAGGACTTACGCCTCAGTAACTAGTGCTGCGTATACAACTGTGTAGGCAATATTCCTGGAGATTGGTAGAACTCAATCCTGGAGAACGGTAGAACTCAATCCTGGAGATTGGTAGAACTCAATCCTGGAGAACGGTAGGCCTCAATCCTGGAGATTGGTAGAACTCAATCCGGGAGAACGGTAGGACTCAATCCTGGAGATTGGTAGAACTCAATCCTGGAAAACGATAGGACTCAATCCTGGAGATTGGTAGAACTCAATCCAAGAGAATGATAGGACTCAATCCTGGAGATTGGTAGAACTCAATCCTGGAGAACGGTAGGACTCAATCCTGGAGATTGGTAGAACTCAATCCTGGAGAATGATAAGACTCAATCCTGGAGATTGGTAGGACTCAATCCTGAAGAACCTTTGGACTGACAATCCTGGAGAATTGTCTTAGGACTCAGTCCTGGAGAATCATAGGACTCTGTCCTGGAGAACGGTAGGACTCAATCCTGAAGAATCGTAGGACTGACAATCCTGGAGAATTGTAGGACTCAGTCCTGGAGATTGGTAGGACTCAATCCCTGGAGAATCATTGGACTCAGTCCTGAAGAACGGTAGGACTCGGTCCTGGAGAACTGTAGGACTCAGTCCTGGAGAACTGTAAGACTCAGTCCTGGAGAACGGTAGGATTCAGTCCTGGATAATCTTAGGACTCGGTTTTCGATCACCAATCTACTACTTGTAACATATAGACTGTCCAATAAGGTCGAAAGGTCACCGAATGTCTTTGGAAATATTCCATACAAAACACAGTACTCTATTTGGAAGATCTTACCAAACTATCAGATGAGACGTTTATTGTTTACATACAAATGAAGTACTCGGTAAAGTAATTCATTGTGATTGTTATCGTTACATTTTTCGGAACTGCTGAATACTGAATTCTATGGTACATTACTGCCTCCCTGATTGTGTAACACATTTATATCTTACTTCTACATAACCTGCTGATGTTTTTATCCTCAAAGAAAGTTGACCATGCACGTAAAGTTGATGTGAATCACCATTTATAGAAAGGATTAAATTAGATTAACGCAATCAAGCTAACCATACTTTGTGTGTTTCCGAGGTGTTTTTCAAGTGGTCCCTACTACAGGCCTCTGAAGGACCGGTACCAAACTGTCTCAGTATTGCTGTTGGCATGGAAACACAACTGTGGAGTTAAACATGTTGGCTGTGAGACCAGATAATCAGTTTCATTAAAATGTTTGTAATGACAAGTTTTCACAAGAACAATTATAAGCAAGATTTCTCTGCCTGTATCTGAAGTGCAAATTTATGCTGTAATTAAACAAGACCTTCATGCTTTCTCCTCATTGGAATTTATAACTGGAACAATTTCAGAGTAATCATTCAATGATAAAGGATAATGTATTGATGAGATTTGTACAGCTTTTCATTTAAAAAACTTCATTATAATACCACCTTTGTGTCTCAGAAGGACGTGTACAGCTACCATCTTGACAAGGTACCGACTCTCGGTGATCTGGAACTACATATTTTTGCTGTGTAAAAAAAATACACTGACCAATCACCATTTACTAGAAACACTAAAACATTGCTGTGACATAAAACGGACGTCAAGACATTAGTCGCCCTGAGTGTTGAAGACGCGTACACGTTTCTAGTTCTTTACAGATTAGAGAATTGTCTGGTAGAAACATATCGTAGGGACAGGTTTAATTATCATTACCACACATCAGTACAGAGACAGTGAATACAAGGCTCACTGTGTGATCGGTGCCGAGGTTTGTGGGTGTACGACGCCTTTGGTGTATTTCTAACATTGTGGAGAACACGGCCCTCCTACAGGCTACCAGGAACATTATTAGCCTTCTCATCATTACGGCTAGAAATTAAAAAATAACTACCAGGAGTGTGGAACTATTCGAGGAGATTTGACCATACCTGTGCTAAAATATCTTCTGTCCATCTTTCGGAACACGCTCCACATGAACATTTGGATATCTGTTATAGGCTCTGAAGGATTTCTGAAGGAACAGCAGTGTCATCTTTCTGTTGTGGGCGTCTTCAAAGGAAGGTATAACTCTAAAGTAATCCCACAAACTTCATTTTCTAACGGTTATCAACCTTGCCGTGTCCAAATTGTAATAACACACAAGATATAAACTGTTGAATCCGTCTCTATCTAGATTGACACCGTGATAACTAGGAGATGAAGTATGTGATAAAGACAAGTTTCATGTTTTGAGAATTACCCCATGTAGAGAATTGGTTTGAGTTGCTGGTCAACAATCCAAGATTCCTGTACAGAAGAACTGTAGAAGTGTTGTACTATAATGACCTTGGTTTTGAAGAACATGCAGTGTGACAGAAATTCAAATAATTTGTTAAGTTTAGGTCCAATCCAAGATGAAAGATGAGGAAAAAAAGATGTATTTATCGTTAAAACCATAATTCCACAGGTGGTTTATAGAAATACACACGCTACTCTCCTACAGGAAACATCATCAGTGAAGAAGCAGACGGACAGATACAGCGGACAGATATAGCCAAATGGGAGGATAATTAGCTGTTCTTGGGCAGATGTGTGGAGGGATCTCCCTAAATCTGTTTATTTTGGAGACTTTTTCAGAATGGACCCACCTCCGAGCCTGCAGACCTGGACTGTACATGTTTATAAGGATTCTACAGCACTGTAGTACATCAACATAAGGCGTTTAAAACCACGGTCAGTTCTGTGGCCATTATACCTGTAAATTACAGATCTGGATTATAGATTCAGGCTACCTTTGTACCAAGATATCTTATACAGCTGGTCTTTGTACATCCCTGGTCATACAGATTCTCCCCAACTGACCAGTTGTAAGAGTCTGTTGGTTATAAAGCTTGACCACTACCTGTAAACGTTTTGGTCTTGAATCTTGACCAGTACCTGTGGGACTCTTCATTAAGAGCTTGACCAATCAGTTGGTCAATTAGAGTTCCTATGTAAAAGATGTGACCATGGATATGATTGAAGCTAACCTGATAGAAATGTCTTAATATCTTTGTGACAAATGTATATGCACAATTCCCCAAAAGATTGTACGAAGAAGTTTGTTAACTTTTCGACGGGATCACCTTTGCTTCTATCCCGTGGATTACTATATAATGACATGAGATAGATTGTGGATTACTCTGTGTGTGGATTTCTGTGGAACAAACTGACAATGGACAGCCAGAAGTTCCAGGTGACTGCTCAGGCAGAAATGTCGCCCAGTCCCGTCCTGCCTGTCAAAAGTAGGTATCAGTTATATAAGTCAATCCCCTACCAACTTCCTCTAAGTCTCCATACTCCCTGACTTAATACCCCAGCATCCCATCCATCTCTGTAACCTTTCCTTCCTTACAGAATCCCCCCTCACCCACCCCTCCCAAACCTGTATCTGCAGTGTTATCATTCCTATTTCTTACTCTTTGACAATTTGCCAACTTGGTGTTCAAGCTTGACATAACACTGCTCCAACAGTGACAGAATTCTCTTGAAAACTAATTATATGGTCATCAAACATGTAAACAATAGAGTCTTGATTATCAAGATTTCTCAGCGCTGATATCGGGTGGTGCTAGACCTACCTCGGTCAGGTGGTGCTAGACCTACCTCAGTCGGGTGGTGCTGGACCTACCTCAGTCGAATGGTGCTAGACCTACCTCGGTCGGATGGTGCTAGACCTCCCCCGGTCGGGTGGTTTTAGACCTTCCTCGGTCGAGTGGTGGGGGACCTACCTCGGTCTGGTGGTGCTTGACCTACCTCAGTCGAATGGTGCTAGACCTTCCTCGGTCGGGTGATGCGTAACCTTCCCCGGTAGGGTGGTGTTAGACCTACCTCGGTCTGGTGGTGCTGGACCTACCTCGGTCGGGTGGTGCTGGACCTACCTCGGTCGGGTGATGCTTAACCTACCCCGGTAGGGTGGTTTTAGACCTACCTCGGTCGGGTGGTGGTGGACCTACCTCGGTCGGGTGGTGGTGGACCTCCCTCGGTCGGGTGGTGGTGGACCTACCTCGGTCGGGAGGGGGTGGACCTACCTCGGTCGGGTGGTGGTGGACCTACCTCAGTCGAATGGTGCTAGACCTACCTCGGTCGGATGGTGCTAGACCTACCTCGGTCGGGTGGTGGTGGACCTCCCTCAGTCGAATGGTGCTAGACCTACCTCGGTCGGGTGGTGCTGGACCTACCTCGGTCGGGTGGTGCTAGACCTTCCTCGGTCAGGTGGTGCTGGACCTACCTCAGTCGGTGGTGCTGGACCTACCTTGGTCAGGTGGTGCTAATTACCTGGGAATTATAAGGACATGTCCTTTGATGATAAACAAGCAGCAGATGTTGGGCTGCCCTATAAAACCATGTTTTTGTATTCTTTCATACTCCTTACAGACTGAGGATGTAGGTACATTTCAGGTCAGCTTTGTCCCACACTGATCACTAAGCTGTAAATGTTAATTGGAATTTGTTACTAGAGATTGTGTACCTAAGAATGAAGATCGATAACTAACTGCAATTTAGTTCACAACAGGGGATAAAGGAAAGACATTCAACAAGGTAGACAACACACAGAACCATTATCTTTCAACAGAGGAGACAACACACACACACAAATATTATCATTCATAAGGCAAGACAGCATTCCAAATGAAGAGTATTGTTCAAGAGTTTAACACCCAAACAGAAATATCCAAAGCATATATAGCTCAACAGACAACACACAGAAATGTGAATATTCAACAGGGGAGACAACACACAGAAATGAGAATTTAACAGGGGAGACAACTCACTGAAATGAGAATTTAACAGGGGAGACAACTCACTGAAATGAGAATTTAACAGGGGAGACAACTCACTGAAATGAGAATTTAACAGGGGAGACAACTCACTGAAATGAGAATTTAACAGGGGAGACAACACACAGAAATGTGTATATTTAACAGGGGAGACAAGTTACTGAAATGTGAATTTTCAACATATTAGACAACAACAAAAAAATCTGAAAACTAAATTTTCAATGGGAGTAGATTGGGAGATTGGGGTGTATCCAAAAAGTATATTTCGGCAGTTACATCACTGTTTAAACGAAAAATGAAAGTCTTTATGGTACTGTAGTAGTTAGTGGTTACAAACAATAAAGAACAAAGTTAATTAATTGATCAATTAACGTTTATTAATCAAACAATATCAGAAACAACAATGCTCAGAAAATATCTTAATTATCAACCAAGGGAGAGAAAAAACAAAGAGTATATGTTTACTGTGATATCAAACAAGGGAAAGAAAACAAAGAGTATATGTTAACTGTGATATCAAAATAATTGCATATTTCATCAGACATTTCCAATGCCTGAGTTAGTCAGACAGTTGTCTCTGAGGTAAAGAGATAGTTCCATTTTAATTACATTCATGGTTGCCAGACAACCTAAGGGTGACATAACTACAAACACATTGATGAGCTGGAGTGTTTTACTATAAGACACGCGTGTGTTAAGTGTTAGTTCCTAGGACTGACTCATGAATTAACTCTAGTACAGTAATAAATTAGGAAAGGGCAGATGTCCTTATTTTCTTAAAAAACTTTAAAACGTTTTTTGAACATATGGAAAAATAAAGCATGTACAATTGCACATTTTATGAATACCAGAAAAATGAAAAATAAAAAATACAGTTTTGCCCTCACTCTGAATTTGTGATCTATTTTGATAAAAAAAAAAGTTGTATCACACATGTTGCTCTAAAACATTATGTGATGGTGATATTAAACTGCATAGCAGCCCAAATAAATGTCATTATAGCATGTGTTTGTGTAGTAAGGCTGATATGTAGACATGTTCACCTGAACAACTACTTCTATCTTTAAACTGTTACAGCTGTGTGAGAATTTCTCAGTTTAACTCATTCGTCCCTGAAATTTCATGATGATCCGTTCCAACCTTTGAATTGGATGAGTCCATTATGGTCTTCAGGGGTGAATGAGCTAAATTAATCATGTGTTACAGTGTATACTAATGTAGTTCCATGTATGACAGCACAGTATTTTCTGAGATATTTTATTTTTGTGCATTATTAATTCCTAGTTTTTATGTGTTATATGATTTTAAGGGCTCTTGTAGGTCCAGCATCATGCTGAGGCATTTGCTTCTCAACTTAAATGTGTTTTTCTCAGACATGGTAGATAATCTGAAAATGCATCATACAGCACATCTGTACACATTTGCTTCACACACATACAACACACATGGATAAATAGCTTATCAGACCAGCAGGGGAGATAAATCTTAAACATATATCTTTATCCGAAACAGGGGCTGTAGAGGTCACATCTCCTCAGAGAACCTGTTTGACCTCTTCTGCACCCTTCCAGTTACTGACCTACTAGTATTCCCCTCAAGTTACTGACGTGACCTGTTGGGAGGGATCTGTGCTACAGCTAATCCTATAACTTTTTACCAATCTATGTACACCTAGAATGTTTTAATTATCAGATTGATGATGTCTGGAAGATTCCTGAATTTCTGAACCTCCTGTTTCTTACATTTAAATGGTTCTGTACTTATTATAATAAATACTTCCCCTGGTTTTACAAACATTCTTTAAATTCTTCTTTTACTTCAGCAATAGTTTATAAAAGAAATTTAATTGAAGAAAAACCTCTAAGCTAAGTTGTTACGTATAAACTGGGACCTGATTATCTAATTATTGAAGATAACAGGTAGATACAGAAATGTATTAATTACCTGCCTCATCATGGTAACCCCCTCCAGGCTCAGTACCGACCTATCTGCCTCATCTTAGTAACCCCCTCCAGGCTCAGTACCGACCTGTCTGCCTCATCTTAGTAACCCCTCCAGGCTCAGTAGCAACCTGTCTGCCTCATCTTGGTAACCCCATCCAGGCTAAGTACCAGCCTGTCTGCCTCACCTTGGTAACCCCATCCAGGCTCAGTACCAACCTGTCTGCCTCATCTTGGTAGCCCCCTCCAGACTCAGTACCAACCTGTCTGCCTCACCTTGGTAACCCCATCCAGGCTCAGTAGCAACCTGTCTGCCTCATCTTGGTTACCCCCTCCAAACTCAGTAGCAACCTGTCTGCCTCATCTTGGTAACCCCATCCAGGCTAAGTCCCAGCCTGTCTGCCTCACCTTGGTAACCCCATCCAGGCTCAGTACCAACCTGTCTGCCTCATCTTGGTAGCCCCCTCCAGGCTCAGTACCAACCTGTCTGCCTCACCTTGGTAACCCCATCCAGGCTCAGTACCGACCTGCCTGCCTCACCTTGGTAACCCCCTCCAGACTCAGTACCCACCTGCCTGCCTCATCTCAGTAACCCCCTCCAGGCACAGTACAAACCTGTCTGCCTCACCTAAAAGTACTGACCTGTCTGCCTCACCTTGGTCCCCCCTCCATGCTCAGTACCGACCTGTCTGCCTCAACTTTTTAACCCCCTCCAGGCTCAGTACCAACCTGCCTGCCTCACCTTGGTTACCCCCTCCAGGCTAAGTACTGACCTGCCTGCCTCACCTTGGTAACCCCCTCCAGGCTCAGTACCGACCTGCCTGCCTCACCTTGGTAACCCCTCCAGGCTAAGTACCCACCTGCCTGCCTCACCTTGGTAACCCCCTCCAGGCTCAGTACATACCTATCTGTCTCACCTTGGTACCCCCCTCCAGGCTCAGTACCGACCTGCCTGCCTCACCTTGATAACCCCCTCCAGGTTATAAGTACCAACCTGCTTGTCTCACCTTAGTAACCCCTTCCAAGCTCAGAACCAACCTGCCTGCCTCTCCTTGGTAACCCCCTACAGGCTCAGTACTGACCTGTCTGCCTCACCTTGGTACCCCCCTCCAGGCTTAGTAACGACCTGCCTGCCTCACCTTGGTAACCCCCTCCAGGCTATAAGTACCGACCTGCTTGTCTTTCCTTAGTAACCCCTTCCAGGCTCAGTACCGACCTGCCTGCTGTTGTAAAAGAGATGGTTGTAGGCTTGCTGTGTGTTAACAGAAAAAGGTGGAAAACATATCATGAGCTATTCCCATCTTTATTGGTTGGAAAAAACATTGTAGTACTCTGTTAGTTTTGGCACAATTTTGCACAACCCACATTCTTAAAGATATATAGAGTAGCATGGGAAAATGCTTGGGAAACAAGAATGAGGACTACTATGTTTCTCAAAGGTTTCAGTTTCATTATTGTCATAATGTACTGTACTGTATTAATTTGGATTTAATATTGTGTTCCTGGTTTTGTTCCTAAGAATAA